GAAAAGCATTCCAGTGACTGGCCAAACAGGAGGTGTGCTGGTGACGCTCAACAATTTGGGCACAGGCTGAGGGAAGGTATGGTTAATTTCAGCATCACCCACCCGTAGTCCATGGGGCAGCAACCTGTGCCAATTTGGTGGATGCTCCCCGTTGGGAACACTACGCCATCCTAAAGTACTGGGCATGTGTGTCACTGTGCTATATTCTTGGCTAGAGAAGCAACATAACTTGCTGCTTTCTGGAAATCTGCAGTCTATCACAAAACTACACAGGCAAACTCAGGAAGAAGCATATAGGAATAACACGCAGCGAGCTAATTGTCCCAGCATCTTTGACAATTCAGGCCAGAATTGTCCAAAACAAGCCAGAGAGGCTGTAAAATATCCTATCTTAGGCATCTTTAAAATTGTTCAGATATTCTTCTGTCAGTAATTCCATTGTCTGGAAGTCAGGAAGTCCAAAGCCTCTGTCATCTCTCCAACTTGACCTAAGTCTTAATTATTTTCAGACTGGCTGCATAGTTAAGCTCTTATTACCCGATACTGGACGAAAGTGATTCAAAGGTCTGAGTTCTAAATTCTCCAAAACCTCCTTCCCCTAGCTTCCAGACCAGGAGGTGGGATCCTGCTTCAAGCAGCTTTCTCTCACAATTCATCAAGGTGATCAAACCGTCACTTAGAGAAAACCTCACCCTTGTCGGTGTGTCTTGGGCCTCTGGCTTATCAGGCACAGAAGCGAAGCCCACTTAACAATCTCAGACATTGTTCACCAGTGTCTCTATCAGACATGACATAGCACAGAAGTTAAGAGTTGCAGGGAACATGTTGAATCTAGCACAACAGTTCTGGCTGCAGCAGCAGTAAAGAAATGTCTAACCAAGAAAAATATGTTGGATTCGAGAGTTACAGTTTGATGTAACCCTACCAAGTCTGGGTTACCTGTCCCTATTACATGGTTCCATAGCACTCTCCACTTCCCTTATCATTGTAGATGTTACAAGTGTATTGTTAGAAGACCTAAACAAGCAATT